TCATTTGCAAAAGATAAGATCTAATGATATGACTTTAAAATAAATGATGAAGAGTATTGAATTTTAATTACTTTCTATAAATCATAATAACTTCTTTTTTTTCTTGGAAATATTTCGATATGATTGATATTTAATTGCAATGATCCATAAAAACAATAAAAGAATGTTCAGATGTCATTTCCATTAAAAGCAAAAGAAAATATCATTGAATCTTTTGATCTAGAAAATAGATTATCATCTATCTGGAAAGAAAAACAGAAGTAGAGTCGTTTCAACTGAACAAGAACTTATTTATTGAATATACATATAAAGATGATATATAACAACTGGACAAGGTCAAGATAATTATGAGAATGACGTATAAGCAAAGATATTTATATGTACATTACAATAGTTAATGTACTTGATGTTGATGTATTATATAGAATTATGCTATGCATAGTATATTTATATTTGGAAGATATATCAAGCAATATGATAATAATTTGAATATATATATATCTAATTCAATATAAACTAAAATCATGCTAGTATTTTAACTTATATTATCAAAGAAATATTGTTTATACCATATACGATAAGCAATTCTGCAGAGTACGATTCTGTATTATTAAAGATATGTTGCAAGATAATGATATATTCTTCGATACTGTTGAGAAACATAATAATAATATACATTCATCATAGCGTATTTGAACTGTCGAGTCTAACTATCTCACTCTCTGTATATATAATGACCAAGAAAAAATTTATTCATCAAGTTTAAGTAACAATAACTCGAATTATACGCTCATACAATATTTTTTCCCCCAAGAATTGCTGCTTTATTTATCTATATTCTGATTTAGTTGTACACAATAGCTTAATCGTATTATTGAATATATAGGTTTTCTGAAAGTGATCTTTTCCAACGATGATATTGTTCAAGTTTCTCTTTACAAAATCACATTTTTGAATGCACGTGTACAATTACATTTCAAAACGAATAGGAAACCGAAATTAGTATTTGACTTGTAAAAATGTTGAACTTTTTCAAATAATTCATTTAGTTATACGATTATTTCTATTACGATCAACAACATAAGTGCATTTTTCTATTAAGATTTAACCCTTCGATTATGTCACGTATTTCTTTATAGTTTTTTTCAAAAAAAAAAATAAGAATAAATAAATGCTTCTTGAGCTTGTTTTAATGAAGAAAAACCAAATATAATAAAAAATATCTTTTTTTAATAATCGAAAGAAAAAGAGAATTCCAGCACCAATTTATATCAATATAAAAACTTAGTTTTTTTGTTGTTGAGTGGAACATATTTGTTAGAAATATACAGAACGAAACTAAAGAATAGATAAATCCTTTTGAAGTAAGAGAGAGAAAGAGAAAAAAACGATGTTACATATGTAAAAAAAAAACGAGAAGGACGTGTAATTTTAAGTTCTTTTACGCATATTTTCAACTTCGTCATCCGTATCATTTGAACTATTCATGTCGTGTTCAATTGTTACTGTTGGTTTAACAGCTGATCTTTTTGTTGCTGTTTGTTTGACTTGTCGTTTTGTTATGATTTCACTATGACTACTCTAAACAAATAAATAAATAAATAATGAGAAAGTCGTAGAAAGCATAAGTTTAAACTTACTTCACTTGAATTGCTTTTATTTATTGTTCGTCCTTTACGCGCCATAACTTTTGACATTTCATATTCATCTAATGGATTATCAGATGAATCATCAGGTTTTTCTTGATAATCTAAAAATATGATATTGGAATGATATAGAAAATCCAGAGAAGTACTTACTTGCAAGTGGTTTTCGAGTTGTTCCTTTGGATAAATATTTTCGATCTTCTTTTAAACGACTTGAAAATTCCGAATCTATTATTATCATCATAGAAAAGAAAATAAGAATTTTCAAATTGATATATTTATTTCAACTCACCTTCTTCACTTTCTTCATGTAATGTAGCAGGTGGATTAGCAAAATTCTTTGCGGAACTGTTATTAATATCACTTGTACTCAATGAACGTTTTAAATGTTCACCAAGATAACTTTGACCCTATTAAGACAATGGATATTTAATGGAACATATTAACCTTTCAATGATATTATTTACCAATACAGCGGTATTTAAAAATACATTAGATGCATATCTAAAACCTTTATTTGTTAAATCAAGTATTGCGGTATAACTCTTTTGTCTTGTTTGTTCGATTAAATGATCGATTTCCTATAAACATAAAAAGAAAAATACATATACTTTTTTTTATATTACATATCATAAAGATTAAAAATTGACTCAAAGATAATATAGAGTATTATACATGTCAAATGAATAACCATTTATGTAAGCGTATCTTCTATCGTTTAAACTAATTTTTAATGACCGAAAAACTACCTTGTATCATATTGTATCGAAGCAAAATGTATCCTTATAAAACACAGCGGAACGAATATTTATATATGCCCGATAATACGCGTAGAAAATATATAATGACACCCGTTCAAAAAAGAAGGCGTTGAATTGTAATAGACATCTGTTATCAAGGGTAAAATACTAAGGCTATTCAACAATTTTTAAACTTTAGAGTACATACTTGTTCACGTTCTTTGAGAAGTGGTTGAATAAAACGTTTGTACAAAAATGTTGAGCCAGCTGGTGAAACTATCCAGAATACAATTCCAATTTTAATCCAATAATAAAATGGAAACCTAAAAAAATAAATTTAAACAAAAAAATTTTTTATTAATTTAAAATTTTTTACCATGATAGAATAATATCAGTGATTGTTTCACATGCAATAAATATTGAAAATACAATCCAATATCGAAGACAATTAACCTAAAATATATGTATTGAAATAATTTTTATTTTCAATCAAATTTTTATTCATACCACTTCGCGTAAATCGGAATTAATTAGAGATTTATAAGATCGATAACCAGGGTAGAGTGTACCAATGGTTACACTTAAAAACGAAAAATTTTAATTTAAAATTGAAATTCTATGTAAAAATACGAACATGATGCAACGAGCAAGTAGACTTGATACCATTGTAATGTTGTTAAAAAATCTAAAAATATGAATTCATAGGCTGTATATGTCATTATATACATATCGTAGTTTCGTTTTTTTTCTTCTTCTTCGTCTTCGATTGCACAATCAAACATTCAACTAACAAATGATACAACGGTATCGTTATACATCTGGTTGCATACGAAAGTAATTACTATTGATGATATCTTTATTGTGTGACATGTCGTCTGTCTGATACATATACTTGATGATAACTTCAATTAATTTTTTTTTCTCTCTCCTTATGATGTTAGTCAGCTGTCTTTGTATTGTTATTTCTTTTATATTTGAACGACCAATAAATATTCGGGAGCACATTGAACATCGACTAATAGCGACATTATACTTTATGTATAGTTTGTCGTGTTAATTTTGATATCGAAACGATAGTCAAACATAACAATAAATTATTTTTTTATTATATTTATATGTCATAGATATATTTATAATACAAATGTTTTTGTCGCATTGTTGAGCGCGTCATATACAAAATTATTTAACGACTAGATATGAGAAAAAAAAAGAAAACTATACAGTCAAAGCTAGGTAGAAGAAGAAAAAAAGAAAATTGAGATTATGCTGATGACATATTTAGTCTAAAACTACAACACGAAAGATAAGAGAGTCAGAGTCAACTGATACTTCACAAAAAAAAAGAACGCACGTTTTTTTTAACGAATAGAAGAAAAAGATATGAAGTCGTATCACTTGATGAAGTTCTTCTATTCATGTTGTTCTTTTGAAGATATGTGGAAAATCTAGATAAATAAAAAAAATTTGTTTGTTTGTTTTTTTCGAAAAATAAATTACTTTTAATGAATGGTGACTGGAAGTAATTTTCTGGTAAATAATGAAATGATATCCATGTAAATACAAGAATTAAAAGGATCACAGCATGAACACTAGAGAAAAAAATAGAAAATAGAAGTATGAAATAAAAATAAAATTAATTCTTTACCGTGATTGAACAAGATTTTTAATAGTTGAGAGGAGAAGAAGTATAATAGCAAAGACTGTTAATAAAATATTGACAAATTTCGTTATAAGTCGATGTGTATTTTCTTCTGTTTCAAGCGAAATTGCTTGAGTTTGTTCAACTTTTGTCGTCTAAAAAACAAACACCCTTATTTATGAAAATTCTTATTAGAAAAATAAACTAACCCTTGTATCAAGTTTATCTAATTTCTCAACCATTTCTGTCCAATATTCATTAAAATTATATAAAAGTTTTTCTTCAAGATTTTTTAAATCTTTTTTCATTGATGACATTTCATTTTGATGTATTTCCGTTAAATCAGCTAATTCACGATCTAAATTACTATTTCGTTGACGTTCAGCAAGATTGTCTTTTATTACTACATCAATTTGTTTTTGTAATTCATTCATTTTCGTATCCGAACGATCAATTATCTTTTGCATAGAATCAATTTTTAACATTAATTGATGATATTCAATTGTTGCCTAAAAAGATTAAAATAAAAATGAGAATACGATTCTATTTTCATTACCATAGTATTTCGTTTTGATGTATTATAACTAACAAATCGATCATCACTTGAATGATCGGAGATTCGATCATTAAATTCAATATTTGAATCATCACTAAAATGACTAGAATTTTATTTGTTAAAATTTTATCTATGAATGTTTTGACTTACGTTAAACGTCGTTTTGTGGAAGGAGATTTATCAGTATCGTGAATAACGGATATATCAGCTAGAATAGAAAGTCAGATATTTTAGAATACATTTGCTTCACGGAGGTAAGTGTTGTATTTTGACAACAGAATTTACTGTAAGAAGTGCTTCAATATTTATCAAATTGAGAAATATAGTAGAAAATTTCATTAAATATTTTTGTTTTCATAGGATAGTATGATCTAATTACTCTTCATTTTCTATTATATTTCTTAATTTATTAGCATCGCAGTATCTTTCGACGCCAAAAGGTGATGAAGTGCCAAGGTAGTGCTTTAGTGCTGACGATCGCAAACCTGCACTTTTCTCCTTGATTTACAGCGTCTTTTTTTTAGAATGTAGAACGTACATAAATACGAGTTCTATTTTATATTAGTATATTAATGATCAATACATACCTGGAATGATAGCATCGTGCTTTCGATTTAATTTATCACCATCGTAAACGTGATCGTCTAAGAAAATAAAGAGTACATTGAATTTGTCATGTATGTTAACGGTTACGTATTTTATTCGAGTGTCAGTCTACCATATGATGCATGCTAACAATATTAGATAATTTTATTTCATACTAAAATCTCATTTGCAGATAGAATTACTTCTGGTTAGAATGTTCTATTCGTCTAATCTATTGTACTTACAATTTGAATCAATATAAAATTGTGAATTTCCAATTTCATTGGATATTGAACTTGAAGGTGAAGATCGAATAGGCTCAAGTGTATTACTATTTTGATTTAATGATAATAAATTTTGATTATTATTATGATGGATTATTGTTGAAGATAGATTAGTTTGAGCATGGTGATGATGATGATTATCAGCATCTAAATTATGTGATATTATTGATTGTTCATTTGTCGGAAGTGTTGAGATATTATTTATTGAATTATGTTGAGAATTTTCATTTGATATATTATTTTGCGTATCTTTTGATGATGTATAACGAGCGGGTATATCACCGGCTTGTATACGAGCTATATCTGCTCGATAATTAGCAATTTTTGTTTCTAATGCTTCTTTTGTTTCTTGTATTGTACGTATACGTTTTTCATAGGCTGTATTTGGTGTTTCGGATTCATGTGGAATTCTTGGAATTGTTGTAACACGAAGAAGTTCAGAAAGATTTTGTTCAACACTTTGTTGAGCAATACGATAAAGTTGTTGAGCTTTTTCTAGTTTACCTTCAGCTTTAGTTAAAGCTATTTGTTTCCGGCGTTCAAACGGATCGAGATCAGATGTTGATAAATTTTTTTTGCGTGTTAAATTTGATGAATTGACATCATTATCACCACTAGCAATGTTTAACTAAATAAAGAAAACTTACAAAAACAAAAACACATTTGAAATGTTATCTTTTACACTATCGGATAAACCAAGTTTTTGTTGAGCAACAAAATTCGGTGTTTGAAGATGATTACTAGTAATATTTGATCGATCCAATAAAGAATTTGAATTCATAATAGTAGGTGGTGATGTAATTGAAACTGTAGAATGTAATGATTTAGGTTTTACATCAGTTATCATAGACGGTTGTGAAATATGTGAAAGTTCTATGGGTGATAGTTGATTAATAGTTGTCGTGAATTGTGGTTCGGGACTTGGACTAATTCGTTGACGTTGTGATCGTCTAAACAACAAAAATAAAATTAATCATACTGGTTAATATTGATAAATTTTTCCTATTCTAATTCTTTACTATACCTAGAAATGTGTTTTCCATTTGAAAAACATACTAAATACATATTTTTTTTCTTTCTAGGCTTTCTCGATGATTGCTTGAAGGTTGCAACTTTCTGAATTTCTTATTCTTTAGTGTCTACTGTATTTATATGAGAGAAAAAAAAAATTTTTTTTTTCTTCTTTTTTTTCAAGTGACTAAGACACTCGATTATGACTGCAAAATGCAGTTAACAAAAGAACATTCATAATAACGATAGAGCAAAAGAAATGAATCAGATGGTAAAAGTAAATGACAACATTAGTGACGAACACGTTATTATGCACTTGAATGTTTCCTGTCTTGAGAAAAATATGATTATTTTAACTTTGATGACCTTTAATCAAGAAAAAAATCTTTCGATTTGTTTTTATTTTAACAACAGTTGATGTAGTTAAGACATTTTTTAAATTCCATTAATAATCCGTCTCACCTGTGTCGATTATTTAACGATAAAGTATTGTTTATAATATTAATTTGTCTATTTGTCTGTTCAATATCATTCATACTTTGTATGACACAAAGAAAAATCTGGAAGAAGAAAAATGATATATTATACTTTAATAATGACACAGATTCTATTCTTTAATATGTCAAACAACATAGTATTGTGTTCTTTTGTCAATCTTCATCATAATATATTTTTTTATAATGTTATGCTCGAATTATTGACAGAACAAAAAATGAATAATATTTCATAATGCTCATTATCTGAGCTTGAAAGACTCTACATATAATTCTTTACAGACAAATAAAAATCAAGCTGGACGAAAGAAAGCAAAAAAAAATAAATCGTTTCTTTTTTGCTTTTCCAGATGTAAGCAATATGATTGTTTATCTTATGTACATAGACTATAAATAAAGAAGAAGAAAAAAAAAGAAAGAAAATTTTCTCCAACGAATTCTATCTAAAAAATAAAAGAAAAACAAACAATATTTAATTTTGTGTATTTAATGAAAGATTAGTTAATAATGTATCGTCATCATTTGAATGATTATGTTGGGTATTATCTTCACCACCGATAAGTACAGGTCGAAGTCGAGATGATGGTGGAATATCATTATCATCATCTTCATCGCTACTCCATGATATCACACGACGTTCTTCAGTATTATTACTTGTTCGCCAAGTTGTTGTATTAGTTGTACTCGGATTACCAAGGCCATCAGCAGGTTGTCGAATTGCTGTTCGATTAGTATCATCTACTGGAAGAATTATAGGAGGTGTTAATGTCGGTTCTTCACCATCAGCATCCGATCGAGATCTTATCACAGCAAGATGATCAGTTGAAGAAGAATTCGCAATTATTGATGGAACTGATGAGGCTAAAGATGGTACAACAGGTGAATCTATATTTGGTGGACTATTTTGAGTATTTCTACTATATGAAAATTTCTAATATTGTTATTGAATTTATAAAGAAAATAATAATCAAACCTTTGTAGATCAAGTTTTAATCCACCAACACCTTTTTTTGGTGCAGATATGAGATCATATTTAATTCTTCGTCGACGTTGTGTATCATTTAAACGATATTGATGCATATTTTCAAAATCAATAACATAAAGATGACCAACTATAAGAATTTCTAATCGTCTATCACCACGTCGAAATGATTGATCAATTTCATCATTTGTTCGTTGATCATACATCCACCAACCATTACGACCTTCATAATACCTTAAAACGCAAAATTTTCATTACTATTTATATTTATTAATTCCATCCGATTCAATATCGGCAAAAGATATCTTTTGTTAGAAAATCATTTTCCGATAAAACTGGAATTACGACTTATTTTTTCATATATTTGTACTGTAGACTGACGTACTTCATAATGCTCTCAAGCAATTTTGATAATAACCTTATAATAATTCAATTATCCTTGAATTTTACCTATTAGTTACAGTCTATTCAATAATCTGTAATTATAACGTAGCGAGATATACGACTTTGTCAGATTCTATTTGCTAGAACATTTCGACAGTAATGTAATGTGTCACAGCTGTGAAACTTATAAAATAATAGCTTACCAAACATGACGAGCGATGGAATTGGTTGATGTAAGTGATTCATCATCACGTAGTTCTACTGCTAATACATTAGGTTTATCGATTAATTCACGTGGAAATGGTTTTCTAACAAAAGAAATAAATAAAAACAAAATCGTTTTTTAAGAAAATAATTCTTCTAATAAATCCTACCGACAAAGAGCACAAGTATGACTGACATTAGCTACACCTTTCACACAAAGAAAACAAAACGAATGTCCACAGGGTAATTTAACTGGATTAATAAGCGGTTGTAAACATACACTACATTCAACTGAACGAAGTGAATTAGTACTCATAATTGATATTCTGATTTTCCTTTTTCCCCTTATTGACACATTATAATCAATCAAGTGTATTAGAAAGAAAAGAAAAGAAAAAATATTAACGTTCAGTTAGTTTCTATTGATCAAATGATAGTCAATAAAAGGAAACGATGAATATACTGACATCTATATGAAAAAAAATTAATGATAAGAAAAATAAAGCTGAAGTTTTCAAATAAGTTTCTAGAAAATTTATTCTAACTTCTAATCTTATTTTCAAAAAAAAGAATTCAACATTTTTATCCATAGTAATGTACATGCTAATGGCAATATGAATGTGAACTAAATTAGATCAGAAAACCATGTATGTACCTGAACATCAGTTTCAATGGTCAGCTCAGTTTGGTCCATCTCTTACAAATAGTTTTGATCGAAAAGAATTCTTTGATCCAGGAATAAAAAATCCAGAAGGCTTGTATCATTAGATTTAGTACTAGACTTATATTATAGATTTTCTTTTCAGGACCATCTCGTTTACGAAGTCCAATTCCACCAGATCCTGGATATGGAGCGGATGATCGTCCAGGAGGGTACTGATAGCTAATACAAAAAATTAAATGAAAGATTTTCTTTTATTTAGTACTTCTAATCGTCCTGTACGTATTCGTGGTGCTGATGCTAAAAACAATTACAGACAAGCGATTGGTAGTGCCGGTGCTCCATATCTTCTTCACGTTCGATATCCTAATGTTTTGCAAATTAGTAAAACAGGAAGTATAAAAAATCATTTAAATGAAAATGCAAAACGAATTCGAACTATAATGCGTGAAACACAAAAACGACAATTAGTTAAAGAACAATCTGCACCGAAACCTGTCAAAGCACTTTGGCAATCGAAACAATATAATTATGTACAATCGAAAGTTAAACAAAAACTTGAAGAAGTAATTGATAAACTTATTTTGTACTCGTTCTGATTTGTATTATGTAGGATGCTCAACGATCACAATCAGCTCGAAGTGATTTTCTTCGAGCACATGAAAATACTGGCCCGAAATTTCTTCGATCTCAATCTGTTTGTGAATCTAATCAAGCTCAAGTTGATGATAAAAGTCAACAAGATTATGTTAAAATAAATTCTCGATATGTAAAAACTCTTCCAAAAACGCGTAAAGCAATCAGTAGCGAAGCTGTTGAAGAATATCGAGAAAAACAAGACAAAACTTTAAAAACCTATCAAAAAAAACAAAAAGGACGTGTACCCGACTAGTTCGTATTTTCTGTATTTTTGATAAATTTTTCAAAATATGATTCATTATTAGCATCGAAAAAATCAAAGAAAAACAAGATCAAGATACGTATGTAGCACGTGTTAATGCGCCAGATCCTGATTGTCCTCCTGGTCATACAAAAGTTGATAACAATCAACGTGAATTAACCTTACAAAAACTTCATGCCAGTAAAATAAATTATTCAATTAAATAAAATATACATATTTCATTTATAATAGATCGAGCTGAATTGGAAAAAAAACTAAATCGTTTACCTGTTCGTAATGATACGGTTATACTTCGACAAACAAAAGAAGACATCGAAAAGAAACTTATCGAATTAGACGAAGCAATTAAAATATTCTCAAAACCAAAAGTATTTATTAAACTCAACGAATAAATAATACAACGATATTAAAACTTTTGTTTTTTATTGTAATTTATCTATATGAGTAATGTATTATAACTAGTATATTGTCTTCCTCTATCTATACACTAATAAATAAAACAAATTCTCAGATAAATACAATCATATATAATATTTAACGCTAGACAAGACCCGCTTGTTTAGGCGGAAACAGGAAATGAATAACGACGACTAGCTATTATACTTGCTTATAGAGAAAACTCCATTAATTCGATACTCATAAACACCGTATGATAATAATGCGAGCAGAATGACATTCTTTTTCTTTTCTTTTTGCCTGCTGTATATGTTCATTAAAATCTGAATATTTAATAGATCAGAGAACAATAGTAAGCAGATGGTAGAAATACACATCATCGGATAAAATAGATAAAAAACAAGCTAATGTAAGTAGTAGAACGTAAGATTTTACACTAGATCGCTTCTCTTTAATTGAAAAATCCATTTATTTACAAGATGGTTTATCTACGATTTCATTTATCAATAATACTAAATTCATGGTTTTTCTGTCAATTAATATCATCAACTTCGAAATTTAATAATCGAGCATTAGTGATTGTGAAATCTATTGATGATTATCTATGTCAAAATTATATATTGACTTGTTATTTTCGACAACGATATCATAAATTATTTGATGAACAAAAATCGGATGATTGTAAATCACTTTTAATTATACATTCATGTCTTTACTATGATAGAGATTCAATACGTATGTGTTCTCAATTTACACTTAATCAAGCTAAAATAAATCTTACTAATGAAACACCAATATCATGTTTTACTTCATCTATATATAAAGTTTTTTATACTCAACGTTTGCATTCTATTGCACTATCGAGAACAACTACTTGTTGTCCAATATTGGTGTTTTTTTTATTATTTATTTTATTTATTATTCGAAAAACAATATACTATTAATAATATTTTTCTTTTTCTTTATGTGAAGATAAAAGCATATGTTATTATTGCACTGAAAGAAAAAAATATTTCACACACATGATAGACATATGCATGCATTATCTATCTGTTGATTCTACAATATAAGCATTGCCTGATGTACTAAATATGAGAAATAACTCAAATTGGTATTCAATATATTTCATTCAAGTTGCAGTCATAGCACTGTGAAATACGTTAAAATACTAATTCATAGATAGAAATAATATGAAAGTAACTTATGTAACATCAGGATTCTAACTGTGGGTGTGAATGGCTATTTGATTAATAATGTACATATACTCACACCTGCATCCACACTCTATATATTGTGTTTTAAATAGAACAATAAAATTATTTCTCTATGTAATGATTTATGTAATTGGAAAGTAACTAAAGGAGCTATCAGACCACATCTTCCAATTCAACGATTAGTTAATAATGCTATTGTTACTATTCTTCATTCATTTTTAGAAGTTAATCACAATGATATTGATGTGTATGTAAAAGAATTCAAATAAATATAAAATATTTATATTGGTCTTGTATCTTACAAAGATTATTTAATGTCAATATCAAAGTTCATTACATGTGCTAGTCAGGTATCTTCATTTTAAGTTAATTATATTGTAGTTGATTTTTTAGTGTACTCAAAAAGGGTGTGGGTGTGGGTGAGGATTTGAAGTATGGACGCGACAGTTTTTCGTCAACACACACAATCGCTCATACCGACACCACATTCACATCCTCACTCACCCATTAACGCTCTCACTCTCACTCTCCTTCACCTATTCACCCACTCCCTCCCTTACCTTCGCCCACGTTCACCCACCCTAGTGAAAAGTAAATTGTATGATTACAAAAGTAACTAATATTATCAACTAAAACAGTCTATGTTCACTTTTAATGATTAGAGAAACAGAAATTAACTTCATTTTAAGCTTGAAAGAACAGTCTGATGATAGAATATATATCGAAACAACTCCTGTAATAATGATCTATAGTAGACTTCTCAAGCATTATCAAGATCTATGGATCTATCGAGAGTGTGTCATAGGATGAAGGAAAAGAATTATACTGCTTCTTCATTTGCCGATATACGCAAATTTGCTAGTTTAGTTTTTTTGTGGCATCATGCAATGATATAGCTCGCAATATCCTTACTTCTGTCAAATGAAATGAACTGTAAGAGAAATCAGCATAGACAAGTGTTAACGACGGATCAGTTTCACATGTTTTCATCCAATTGGCATATTGAATAGTCCATGATGATGAATTTCCATCTTTTAAATGATCCGAAGAACAAAATATAAGTTGTGATTTATTGTCCTGAAGTATGTCTTGAAAAATTGTATTTAAATCATGATTTGCTTGAGTAAGTAAATGTGCCATATTCAAATAACTAATATTTTGTTCATTAAGTTCATTGATTAATTGCACTTTTTCAGTCAAAGATTGAATATATTTTTTCGTATGATCTAAATTATTTTCTAATGAATCGTTAGATTTATCAACTAACAACTCATCTATCATTTTTTGTTCAGTTTTACCATGACGCATTTTTATAACTAAATCACGAAGACGCTTAATTTCATTTGAATAAATTGTATCTACATTTATAAATTGTTGTCGAAGTGTATCATATTGTACTTCTAAATATTTTTGAAGTGTATGTTTCACTTTGGAATTAAAGCAAATCTTTATGTCTGATAGTTTAGATAATAAATGAAGTAAATATTTTTTGATTATTTTTATAGTCTCTTGTTCAAGTGCAATATATTTTGCTTTTTCCGTAGGATAAGTTGGATAAAACCAATTAATTGGACGAAGTGCATATTGTAATGGAGAATGTTTGTAGCTGTGTACTTTCATCTGTATTATAGTTTGACAAATGTCTTCTAATTTTGAGAATTGATGTAAACTTTGTGTATTGGAGAAGATTTTTGTAACGGTAATTTCATTGAGTAACAATTTATCAACTTTTGATAGTTCGAATTTGTTCATAATCAATTGATCCTTTATTTTTTCAAGTAAACGGTCAAGATTTATTTGATCATTCGAAGATAGTTGTAATACAATAAAAGCCTGAATTCCTACTCTAACTGTAGAAATAACATGAGTTGTACTAAAGTGAGGTATATCTGTAGGAAGTCCTATTTTAACTACGTTCTTTTCCGATGAAATCGAATTTTCTTCACTTACATAATAATAATAGAGATATCGAGTGTTTGTATTTTTCGCAAAAGAATAATAACATAATAATCCCATGTTTTCTGTAGGTATGCTATTTAACGTTAAATTTAACCATAACTCATCAGTGATACCAATCGTACGAAAAAAATCTTCAATATCCAATGTATTATCTGTCATTATTGTACAAGTCACCGATCTATACTGTGCTGAATTAATTATTAATTTCTTGTTTAATGGTAATTGAGAAAGTACAGAACACTTTCTTGCATCATAAAAACAGCCAAGAATAATAGATTCACTGAAAGCTGTATAATATATATTATCAATATCTTTTGGTAAACTTTGACCAGCACTCGCAGGTCTTCCTTTGTTTAAAGACATTCTAAAAATCTAAATAGAATAATAATATTGAAAATTTTAAGTTAAATATAAAATTTGAGTGAAATATAATCATTAGTATTATTTGTGAAGACAAACGGATATTACAGAAAACTATATCATGATGAAAAAATAGACGAAATATTCTGTAGTATTTTTAGTCTGGGACAACTTTCGAATATCATTTAAAAAGCTTTCAACTATTACTGTCTGATTCCTACCTTTACAGAAGTAGTAAAATGTAAAATTTTTATTTTTATTTCTTCTAAATTTATAGTTTCTTTAAAAACAACGATACAGATAGATTATATGTAAAGAAGAAAGAAGATGCTTATATTGTGGAGAAAATTTTTTTTCTTTTAACTGTTACACATCGTTTCTAGATGAATGAGTCAAAGAAAAATAGATCTATAGACGAAGAGAAAGTCACGTTAGTTGAAAGTAAAAGAATAACAATACTCAAATTTAGATATGTGCATGTTAATAACATGAATGGTGTTGTATAAACATTCAAAAATTTTTACTTTTTTGCTGACCGAAAGTTAAACATACATAATTGAAAAGATTATTTAAAACCGTTTCATAATTTCATTGATATATTTCTTAAACAAAGATTAGATAGAGGTAACTATCAATGTAATTAACATTATGTATTATGTCATATACAGTAGGTTTGAATAGACGAATATTATCATAGACTACGAATGATATTAAATAATCTAAAATCAAGAAACATCGGACTCAAACTAATTGTTCTACAATCTTGAAGCTGTATACAAATCACTCTAATAATGTTGAAAGTAAAAATATAGAAAATACAAATATCGAAGCATTACATAAATAGGAGAATACTATATAACTCAAGTAAAAATGATTCCATTTTGAGAGTGTGGGTTGATGTGAGGTGTGAATATTCTATTTCATTGACATCCATACCCATCATCAAATATTATTTGTAGATATTTTTTTAGATTAGAACAGATTATATAGCATATTTTTCAATGTTCTGTTCCTGATAAGTAGGATGTGAGCCTAATAGTTCTTTTTTGATTTTCTATATTTATTTTATTCGGTAAACACCAAGACAATTTTACATTTATGAATTAAATAGAGAAATTCAAAGCTGATTGACGACACATGCTCGATAAATTTATATTCTTTTTCTGTCAACAAGAAATAATTTATATTCATTATTTTTTATGTCCCGCTCTATGTGAATAATGACCAACTGTTTGTGTTCATTTATTAGTAATACAAAAAATAATTACTGAAGTGATATTTTATGTAACTATATTTGTTAAGAAAAAGTCATTTATTATTATGATAGTTGATATTTGATTGATCATATTATTTAAATAAATGATTGATCTAGTATTTGGATTGGAGTGTGAATTCTGTTTCTCTATTTTAGTTCTTCGAACTAATTTTTCAAACAAAACACTTTTTCACATTCCCATTTGGATTTCTGTTGATCAATTAAATTTAGATGAGTTTATTCAGATACTACCCGGAATGTTTCTAATTATCTATAACAATAGTTGATCCGAATCACAGAAGTTGTTCTCTGTAACAATCTTCGTTGATCTTGTTTCTCAACTTCTACACAGATCACGGGAAGAATGTCGAAAGTGTACTGTTAATCGTAAAATGTCTCGCACGTTTTAACAGGGAACTTCTAGTTCCACGGATGTTCTTCAACTTTTGAACATCTTCAAGGACTATTCCTTTTCAAAGGTGAAATAGCTTTAGTTTGATTCTTTTCGGCAACTATTTATTGTTAGACATGCACCAAATCCAATTCCAGTCAAATCCGATTATTGGATTTGGATTTGATCGGATTTGACTGGAATTGAATTTGGATTTGATTGTCAAATCTTAACTTTTTTGAATATTAGACAAGATGTGATATGAGTATGGGAAACAGTGAATAAAACTGCATATAATTGCTATTAAGATTTAACTGGATTTGATTGGTTTTTATACAGAAATCGAATAATCATTGTAAAAGATGTGTGATTTAAATCACCCAGATTCGTTGATAATTTGTATCAAAATTAAATTCAGGAAAACTCAAATCTAAATTTAAAGTAAAACTGAATCCAATTCCAGTCAAATACGTTCAAATTCAAACCGAAATCTAGAATTGGATTTGGTGCATGCCTAAATTAACATCTCGTTCAATAACTTCCTTCACTGACAGATTTCTTATGTCGATGAAATGACTACAGGTGAATTTTCCTTGCTTTATGGATAAGTTCGATTCTTATGATATTTAATGGATCTTAGTCTGTTTATTTGTTTCTACATTTGAATATGAAGATATTCAAATCATCGATTCGAATGAGTTTATCAAGTCAAAATAAGAACTATAGCAATGTAAACTCAGAAAAATTCATTATGAATGATTCTCGTGGGAGATTTAACAGTACTATTTTGTAGAATAAAATAGACTAGATATTAGTTCTCTTTTCTTCTTCCCACGTATAAAATAAACTCGTCCGTACTCACCGTACTATTTTGTAAAAGATAATTAGCCACGATATCCATGCTATTATCCATCAAATTTCCACCACTAAAGTTCACTTTGGTTTTATCTTTGTTCCGATCGATCATTTGTTCAAGTATTTGATTTTTATATGTTAACGGTTTTGACAACATAGTCGTTGTAGTCTTTGATTGTGAATAAATACATACGAAAAATTAAATTCAATAGTAGAACCGCATGAATAAATAGAAATTTTAGATTTCGTTGATAAACTGAATCATTTTTCCAAGTGCATTTTGAAAACTCAACTAGTTTCAAAGCATATTGAAAATACTTCAGTCGAAAAAAATAAATTTCTTTTTCTACTGAATTTCGGTGTGGGTGTGAGATGAGTATAAGATCACACCCACACCTACTCCCATTTCTGATCGACGAAAATAACTTCTCATCGCGAACATATCAAGTTATTCAATGTTCGACACTATTAATACGAACAGACTTACTATCTAATCAATAGAATCGATGAAATTTCTAATCATCATTATTTTAGATCAGGATATGGAAAGGAAAAATGATTTCAACTTTAGTTTTCTTGATATCATTTAATAAGAATTACAAAAATATTCTAGTTCGAACTATGCCTTTATAATGATAGGTTGAGTTATCGATTCTTCAGTTCTAAATATATGTTTGAGCAGTATAATAATGAGTGAAAAGAACTGTCAGGTAATTTTACATCCAATACATATACATTTAGATGCGTCACAACATATGAGAGAAACAAGCTTTTTCGTAATCTATCGGAAAGTAGTTTTCATCTAGAGGTACGATCGCAGAAAAAAATTCGATTGTATCTCGTTATTTAAGATTATCTTTGGTTTCTTCGAATACAATTCCTATTGGCACCGCAATCATTCTAATATTTCATTGATTTTATCAAAAAATTGGTCAATAAGTTGTTCCACTGAAGTAGCAACAAATAGAAGTTTTGATATTTCTTCTGTCATCTTTTCGTGAATGTTGAAAACCTTGTGCGAAGTTCTCAGTGAATTTCTACGCACTTGTTTACTTATTCTATCGTTTCAACTTAAATACTGAAAGGAATCGTGTGATTTTGGATTGATGATGATAATTGAATTTTCTACATCATGCTAGAAAATATTTTTTACCAGTCGAGAGTCATTTTGACGCATCTTGACCGACAGCAACATTTAAGGTTTTGAAAGTACCCATATTCGTGAAAATGTCGGAGTAAATGAATATCATCTATCATTGTGCGAAAGTGTAGAGAAAGTTATTTCTGACGATAAGTATACGATTTCTTCAGTTTTCGTGCTTTCTAACTCTTGTTGCTCACATAGATGCATTATGCAATGTTCTTATGATCATTCCATTTTCATCAGAGATAACATAGTGGCAGTCCATAATATAAAACTATTCTATCGACATCGAACAAAACATCACTCGCTAATAGCGAATCGATCGATCAATTCATATGTGTCCACCAATTTTAGTATGATCCCATTTAGCAATCGTGCGCTTTTTCGTTCATTATGAGATAATACATAAAAGATTTTAAGTAACCTAAATACGTTATGAATCTAGTTAAGCGATATTTGGAGAGTTAATGCGCTACTAGTACTATAAAAGACAATCGGCGAATATAAGCAATCGCGAATGGAGTTAGAATGAAGCAAAAATGTGGAGAAGTTCACGAAACAACATTCCATCGAATAACGACTGACTTACAAAAAACAAGTCTTACTGTCTTCTATCTGTATAATCAGCACTGACCTGTAGATGTCGTTTCAACTGTTAATTCAGAACCACTTTGCAATTCTGGCTTGGGCTGAACCGATGATTTTAGTATGAAAACCGGTATGGAAACTGGTACAGAAGCAGGTATAGAACCAGGTACAGAAGTAGGTTTAGGAATAGGTTCAAGAAGAGGATAGGCTGGTTCTGTTTCTTCCAAGTGTATCATATGAAGGCCGTTGCCAGAATCGAGACATCCTTTAACTGAAAACTGTCTGGCTGGTAATAAAAGAATTTCGTCTTCGTTGTGGATGAATGAATGGTTTTTAATATCTTTACCAGTGTGGCACTCTATTTGAAATAGAGTTCTAGTGCCAGTTTTTCCAAAAAAGTCGCCAGATTCTAGTACTTCGATTGATGAAGTACACGAGGAAAATCCCCACCAAATGAAAGTTTTACTTTTCACATATTGTGCCCGTAAGTCTTCTCTGACGCCTCGAAAAACTAAACGATGTTTAGATGGAAGACGAGCCAATGCTGTCAATACGAGTCGTAAGTAGAGAAACCAAGGAACTAGTTTTTGTCTTTGTTCAGAACGTAATGCAGCGTTGAGAATAGCATAGAGAGAGTGTTCGCGTGGCATAGACTCATAAGTATACAGCATAATTGAAGCAGATTCATCACTTGTTAAGCTATCTTCTGGTTCCTGACAGTTCTGTTTCACAATGAATACGTTACGTTCGATTTTTGGTACGATGTCCACGAGCGGTTTCACTGCATCTTCGAGTGATACAAGCGGTTTATTCTCATAGCCTTCGATCGGAGCCAGCATTCGTTTTGGTAGCACACCCAAATCCGTGAAGCGAAGAGCAGACGTATTTCCGGTAGTACTAGAAGCCATCTGAAAAAAACCTTTAATCAATGTATTTCGCGTAGATTATTCGTACAAGATATTCTTGCTATCAAATAAGACTAGTTGCCTATTGAAAAAGGGAATCTTTCGTCGATGTTACTGACTCATTAAGGGAGGTATCTTGTAGGCGTGGGTGTAGCACCAGGTATCCTTTCTAGTATGCTTCATCATCTGCCTGCTACTGTGGGGCGCCCAGCATGGCATACCTGTCGAATAGTGCCTAAATAGGTCACTGGTTCCGGAATTACTGTGAATTTCGTTCAATTCCGCTTGTATCCGATTCCCAAAATTCCTTAATGCTATCGCTCAATATAGTTAGCATGATGAAGGATAGTACTTTCATAGATGAGCAATTCTGGAACTGCACAAAATTCCGAAAATCTATCAAGATGGAGGTTTGACGTGATTCTGGAGGTCGTATAATTTATTTCGTGTGCGGAACTGATGTTTGCAATGTTCAACAATGCAGAATAGGATGCGTTCTCTTTCACTCATGAAAGTAAACATTTGTAACATCGATCGAACAGATGGTCTTCTGATATTCACTTCAGTTCTTCTTTCATCGGCACCGATTCTCATTTTATCAGACTTGTGGATCCTAAGTCTGATCTACCGACACAGCTTCAATCTTCTATTCCAACAGATCCACCATCGATTAGATATCGAGCTATTCAACTATTTCTCTAAGTTTCATTGGACGTATCAGTGTTCTTTGTACTCTCATCATTACAGTAGCTGCTATGGCATTAACACTTACTTGTAGAAAGAAAATGAATAGAACTGAAATTTAACTGCTTCTGTTGCTACTATTTATTTGTCTTTCAAAGCATGGACATGAAAAAATTGTATTGCCAATTTTTTTCTATTCTCTCTCTTCCTTTCTCATTCCACCAGTTACTGGCATTGAATCTCACTAAATCAACCAAATTCTGTCCACGAAATGTAAATGTAAGAATTAAAAAACTTGGCAAAACTCACTCAGAGAAAAAAAACATCTCTGTCCCTTCTCAAGGTGTTTTTTTTATTCGCGGAAAAAATGTGTTTATCTTTAGATAGTGAGAGAGTCAGCGATTGTGCTTGTAAATAATTATTTTCTGCCTGCATAGGATTTTGTTCTAGTAAAAACAACTGACATATTGCCACCCTTTGGATAGCTCTGTTTTTCTGTAATTCATTGCTTCTGTAAAGAACAAAGCCTTTTCTTACTTACTACATTGACTGCCTCAAAGGGTGTGGGTGTTGATTATTCATCTATACCTGCACCCATCACATCCTCAATTTAATAAATATTTGTATTTACTTTTGTCAGTGTAGTCTCAAAGAGTTGGTGTGGGTGCTAGGTGAATATAATATTCATACCCATACCCTAATTATTAATAACAAAAATTGACATGTAGAAACAATTATTTTGAAGATCCAGCTGATTAGCTACAGAACTTAGTATAATCTGGATAGCTCAGCAATCATGTAAAATATTAAAAGGATGTAATGCTGGATTTTTCTGAATGATTTCTCATATATCTGTTAGTAAAAAATGATGTGTATGTTTTTAAAATTAAAAACTAACTAAATATGTGCACTTTTATTTTAATATTATGGATTATTTGATATTTAGTTGATCTAAAATAACTTCGTGAATATTTCTTGTCGAAGTTATAACTTCATCGACTAATATAACTTCGACACGACATATACACAAAGATCTACAGTTTTTTATTTGAACAAATCTCGAAAAATACGGACATCTTTCTATAAATCTTATAGTCGAATAATCCGTTTTGCGGTAACTAATGGAATCAAAAATTGGACGTTTCCAGATTTTTTAGGAGATTTTTCAATTAATTTATGATATTCACCGATGAAGCGACAATCTTGTTACTAGAATTGCATAATTTAACACATTAGATAACATTGTGAAAAACCAGTTTTATTTATTTTTTATTCAAACTTATCAAGTGTGATTGTGGATATTACAATTATAGCTTACACTCACATCCTAAAAGTAGAAATATTTCATTAACAAAATAGATTAAAATCGTATGCGCATAAGAATAAATATATAATAAAATATCCTTGTTCCATGCAAATTAATGAAGTACTATTCGTTGGAAAGAGCTGCTATTGATATAATTGTATAAGAATATATTTATGTTATGGAAAATCTCGCTGATCAAACTTTAAAAATGATTACAAATCAAATTTATTGAACCATTTAGATATCATCCGCCTTCGAGATATTATCATATACAAAGAACCAATATCAAAATATTATATTAGATTTACGTATTGAATATTCAAAAACTTCTCGTACGATACAAGTAAAAAAGCAAATATAAGCAAACACTCAAGCAAATATAATAAAAATGAATTTGTTATAGTTTTCTAAGATAATTTGTCAGCAGAGACATACACGATCATTTGCAAAGAGAAGAGTAATGAAAAATTGCCATGGAAACGCACATTGAGCCACGTCAACATTAACTACCTCTGTTTGACGTGTGTGTTCATTTGTTAAATCAATTCTTTTTTTGATTGCAATCGATTAACAACTCATAGATAGCGTTCGGTTGAAAATTATAATTTTGTGTATGAAAGGAAAAAACATGATCGTGATTAAGAACACTACAAATTCCAGGCAAATCCGGCTGAAACTGTTGTGTACGTTGTGGAAACCCCTGCAGATGAGGAGCATATCCAGTGTTATACATAGAGATTGCAGCTGTAGCCTGTTGATATTCAAGTACTGCATTACAGTTAATTGTATTGTTAAAAATTGATTCTATAGGTGTGCTTTTTGACATAATACCACATGAAAAACCATTACCTGGAGTTAAGTAATCGATTTTAAAACGAACTGTATGTTGTCCTACTGAATATCCCCGTGTACATCGAGCAGCAGCGTACGCATTTACTGTACCATGTGTTACGATCTTTCCATCGCCAGTAATCTGGACGTTACCCATAGTTTGATAGAAGGTACTCATGGAGCTATTGTCGGTAAAGATTTTTGAAATTAATGAAGTCTCACTATCATCTTGGTCGAAGTACATTGCCTGAGCTGCATTAAAGTCAATTTTTAATTGATCAAGTTTTTCAATCCATTCGTTCAACTCTGTTTCGACATAATCATCTTCGTCACGAGCTCTGCTTAATTCTTGAGTAAGAACTGCTAAATTATCTGTCACTTGAGCTCTATGTGTACGAATAATTGTTAGGATTTGTTTTCGAGCATCGTCAGCTACCTGATGTATTTTAGTAATTGATTCTTGTTCCCATTTGTCGATCTATTCCATTAGAGGATGGCATTTAGGTTGCGCTTCTTGTTCGACAATTAATTGTTTTAACTGATCATGACTGGCACCTATTTCATCCATTTGTCTGTTTAGTTGTTGTCGATGTTCACTAACATGACGAAGGCAAAATGCGTTATTACATCCTGGACAAGTTAAAACACCCGCTGCTTTCTGACATGTTGAACATAGTATTTTTGTTTTTGTGGTAGTTGCCATATCCTCAAGGTTGAAAATTCGCGTTAATAGATATGAATGATGAGAAAATAATCTAAGAAGAATTAACAGAAAATGGAAAAATAGCATTTTATTCAACGCCGTATATTTCATATTAACTCAGAAATACTTGAACAAAGTTACAAAATCGTTTTGTGATAGCTAAAACCTTTAGATAAACTAGCGTTCCTCACTAGTATTTAGTAGAATAACTTGTTCTATAGTAAAAAATTTAGCATTCGTGCGTGCACATCTGAGTTAATAACACGTTTTACAAATGAGATTTATGTTCATGATAAAATTTCATATCGTAGTTTAAAAGATATCTTATGTCAGATATTTCAGCTAATCAAGTTGTATTGGTAAAATATAGCTGCATTGCTTCCTTCTATTATTAGGAACATACTCTTGTAACATAGTTAGATAGAAAAACACGTCGTCTGAAACCTACTCTAGAGAAGAGGATATGGAAAAAGAAAAGAAAATGAAGCGACGTACGACGGTTGCCAAGCGTTAGATTTATGATATGAAGCATTTATCGTTCTGTTTATTTATGGATGAGAACAAACGATTTAATATTTGCGCACTTGACGACATATTCCGTTTATATCCTCCTTCTGCTACTTCTGTTACACTCTTAATCTTATACACAAGCAGACATATCATTATATACTTATGTCGAGTTTTCGTATGTGAACGATGGACAGCTAAAGCTATAAAAGTAAAAGTGACATATAAATGAATTAATTCATCAGTAACAAGCGAGAAATAGAAATAGAAGAGTATCTAAACATAAGAGCCAGGACGAATGAGAAAAAAGAACGGAATGCGGATGTGCTATATCAATGCAACAACAAATGGCATTGTTTCCCACTACACTACAGAATGAAGGCAGTGTTAATAAAATGTAATTTTAAAATACTAATGTTCATTCATAACAATATAATACTTTAATTTCAATGGCAATAATACGTGTTTCTATTGCTTATAATTTTATCGGGTCGGTTAAAACAAGGAAGGTTAGTTTTGCTCTACAGTCTCAAATAAATCTGAAAATATTCGAGACTAAAGTCTGTCTATTGATATAACTTATCTAGTTATTTTCTTGGACAAACCGTCGGATTAGTATTACTTTGCGAAAAAAAAATTTCAATTTTATTAATTTACGTCGACATTTAATCGTCAAAAATGAACTGTAAATACCAACTAAAATGTTTTCGCATGTTACAGGTATAGAGATTCAGATCGTTTCTGATAATAATACGCCTAATTTTACTAGTAAAATCGAAAAAATACTTCTTCCCTAAACTTAGTCGAAACCTCAGAAATTTAGCCTATAAGCTCTTTTTAAAAAAAAGAAAAATCAGAACATATTTCTTTCTCATTTCATTGAAACTTTAACGATAAGTTTTGATTTTTGAAGAGAAATTTTATTCTTGTAAGCACACGCATATTGCAACAATCAAGCGATCTTGAGGGTGTGGGTGTGGATCTATTTTTTCATCATTCACACCCACACCCACACCCTCAAGATGGTTATTGACGATGCCTTTATCCTCCGATATAATCGTAGGCTAAATAGTCTATCCGGGGATCTAATTAAACTGAAATCGAGAAATCTCACAGTGAAATACTCACCGTATGTCGAAGTGATAACGTCGAGGACAAGAAAGATATGTATCAATGATTTTATTGATGATAATCAATAAGATATAACAATAATAGGTGCGGGTGTGAATGGGTATGAGTGTCGGTGCGGGTGTGGATCTATTTTCCATCATTCACACCCTCTCTCGAATCCGGGGAGAAAAAGAAACGACTTGACGAAGATTCAGTCAAGAAGTGTCCTAAATGTGAA